GGAGAGCAAGGAGGCTGAGCCCCACCCGCTGTGGGAGTACCCGTGCCGCAGCCTCTCCGAGCCGCAGCGGGTCCTGACCTTTGATTTTCGGCAGCCAGTCCCCGCACAGCCTGTCCGTGCTGAGGGCTCCATCGAGCTAACGAGGTGAGTGTTGGCTCCTGGGTGGCCGTGTTGGAAGGAAATGAGGTGGGGAGTGCCTGCTTTCTGTCTAGCAGTTACTGCCCATGTGGCTAACCACTTGGCCTTCCTTGTCTCAGCCTTGCCCTTCTTGGTCTAAAGTGGCCCTGAGTGTAGAGAGGGTCCCCACAGCCTCTGGGTAGGAGGCAGTGCCAAAGTGGTCTTTGCTTTTCCTTCTGCATCTCAGTCTCCCTTTGAGCTATCAGCATGTTGGATCACAGCTGCAGAGAAATGTGAATTTGGTTGCTATGGTTACCCATTGGACCATTTTTCTCCTGGGAACTAAAGCAGGTTAGGAATTGGTGAGGGCACTCATTGTGAGGCATGGCCAGGCCCACCCAGCTCAGCTCCCTGCATGGGAGGAGCTGCTGCTCCCAGAGGAAGAGCCCCTTGGGTGGAGCCCAGAGCCCAGGGTCCTTTGGGGCTCCTCTGACGAGGGGAGGCAGGCAGAGACCATCTGGCCTGCCATTCAGGGTATCAGGAGGGTTCTTCCAGCACGCGGTGCCAGGGCTGTGCTCTGAGCCTTTGGACCGAGCCTTTCTGTGACCGCAGGCTAAGGAGGCTGGTCTTGGGTCTGCCCTGCCCTGCCCTGCCACAGGCTTACCTGAATATGTGGCCAGGCTGTGAGGAGTGAGGGGCGCTTTGGGTTGTGGCTTTCTTGTTCAGCATTTTACTGAGTGGCTTTTAGTCAGGCAGTGTCAAGAGCCTCCTGACTGGGCAGGTGGGAGTGGGGAAGAGCAGAGGTTTCTGGAAAGCAGAAGGGAGCCATGGCCATGCTCACCTATCCTTTGTGGTGCTGTTTCTGTTTGACCAAATATCCTCCTCCCCCAGGCCTGGGAGGAGCCACGGGGCTGTGCTGTGGATGGAATACCACCTGACCCCAGACAGCACCATCAGCACCGGCCTGCTGACGCCCGCAGAGGACAAGGTACCGCTGTGCACATGGGCCCAGAGCAGCCGACCCTGAGAGCCGTTGCTGTTGGGGGGGCCACACCACCACTGTGCTCTGGGTGTTCCTGGGACACGGTCAGCCAGATGGGAACCTGGTCTGAGCAGAAGCTTCCCACCTCGAGCTTTTAGCAGGGGAGGCTGGCCAGAAGAGGGCTTAGCTGCTGGCCACCCTCACCACCTTCTGCTTCTCCCGCTGCAGGGATACTGTTGCTGGAACCCACACTGCAAGCAGGCCGTGTACTTCTTCAGCACCATGCTGGACCCCAGAGCACCACTGGGAGGCCCGCAGACAGTCAGCTACACGGTGGAGTTCCAACCCCTCACTGGAGATGTCGCCATGGATTTCACACTCGCAGATACCCTGGGCGATGGGCACGGACTGACCCTCCCTTAAGAAATAAAGTGACCACAGAAGCTCCGGGCTCTGAATGGTGTGGCTTTCTGGGAAGGAAGTTGAAGGTGCCTCTCCTTTCAGGCCCCAGCTCAGTTTCTGGGTATGGAGACCTCTCCCCTTTTTCATTTCATACTGCTGGCTGCTCGCACCAGGTGTGCCAGGCAGCATGGGCTGCTGGCTGATTTGAAGCCGGGGAGGGGGCAAAGAGCCCACTCTCAGTGGTTCTGATGTGCTCAGAGAGCTCTATGGCTTCAGAACCACTTCTGGACCTCATGTGCTGAGGCGGCTGGCTGCCCGTGGTGGTCGCCAGCCTGGCCAGTGCCCTGGGACTTCTGCCTGGCTCTGGCTAGGAGGAGCTTCCAGGGGCCGAGATGCTGACTCATGGCTGGGCTGAGGACCAGGCTCTGGCCCTTGCACTCGATGGGTAATGTCACCAAGCATCTGGCTTTAGTGTGCAGCACCACAGGTGACCAAACCTGACCACGGACACCAGGCTGCTGTTCAGAAGACAGGAGGAGGCTGTACCCAAGCAGTTCCTGAGACGCAGAACCAGGAAGCCAGCCACCAGGAGAGGGCGCCAGGAGGTACAACCCTTTCCGAGTGCCCCCCTCTTGCAGAAGGACCTCACACCACCTCCGAAGCCTGGGCAGATGAGTACACTGCTTCTCCCCCTGACCATCACAATGCCCTTTTGCTGTTTACCACCTGCCCCAGCTTGGGTCCGGCCCCAGCTTGTTGTTCAAATAAGTGAAGAACACCAGCCTTGAGCCTCACAGTTTTATTTTCTCCTTGTGATCCATCCTTCCTTTCAGCACCAGTAAAGGAGAAAAACACCTCTCTTTTCAAAATATTTTATCAGGTGAAAGATTGTTTTTCTTCTAGGGAAGAATCGTCTGGATATATATTTGATAATGTTTTTACCAAAACCTTAGGTGTGCTTACCATATAAAACCCCTAATGTCCCATGAGGATACAATACAGAAAAAAATACAGAAATTAAAAAAGTCTTTTTTTTCTTTTTTAAAACAGTATTTCTAAATCTCAGCAAGTTAATACAATAGTTAAAAAGCATCAAGATTAATATTCATACTTAAAACTTAAGGTGGTTTGGACAAATGAAATGACCATTTCCTTCCCAAGCTGACCCTGCCTCCTGGCTTCTCTGGAGGAGGCTGGGTCCCGGGCAGGTGCGGGACCTTGATTGGGGATTTGGGTAACCCCTCTGTCTACTCCCCCCCCCCCCCAGGCCAAACACACAGAATATGAGATCCTGGCAATGATTCTTTTCTTTTTAAAAATTAAAATGGCAAAGTCTGGCTTGTGCACGGCCCCTGAAGTCCACAGGCTTCAAGAAACGTGTGGTTGGGTGATGGCGGCCTCGGTACTGAGGAGTTGCTAGGGGAGCTGGGAGGTGGTACACCAGGGCCGGCTGTAGAGGCGACCTTGTTAGGACAGGAAGTGACTGAGGCACAGGGAGGTATGACTTGCCTAAGGCCGCCCTGTGAGAAGAGAGAAGCATGTGCCCCTGCACAGTGGCCCCCATCCAGCTGCCCTGGGAGGGAGGCAGCCCCTGAGGGCTGGGCGCCATGAGGTTTCTCTGCTTCAGGAGCCTTCGCCTGTCTCCCCTGCGCTCCTGGGTACACTGCCAAGCTGCAGCCTGGGGTCCTTGGCTCAGCCCCACCACCTAGGCATTGTGCCTGCCCAATAGGACCCTCCCTGTGTGAGTAGATTCCTGGACACTCCTGGGAGTAGGGGCACCGCAGAGCTCAGGTGGGACTGTGTCCTCAGCGGCGAGGAGCCCCTCGTGGCTCTGGACCCCAGGGGCAGGGCTGGGAAGTATTGAAGCCTTCAGTTCTGCCACTGCCCTGGCCAGGTGGGTATATAGCTTGTCCTCTCCCAGCACAGGACCTGACCTCTGGCTGGCTGCTTGGACCCCTCTTGCAGCTCAGTGGGAGACAAGGCACAGTGTCAGCGCTCCGACACCAGAGGGTCTTAGTATGCTCCACAGCCTTGCTGGGCAAAGCTGGCTTCAAGCGAGGTGGGCACAGGTCAGCGTGCTGTGAGAAGGGGAGACAAGTGGGGGTTGTCAATAACAGTCCCCTGAGCCAGGGAAGCTTCACACTGGAAATGGACACAGCTTCTCTGTGTGACTGTAGGGAGCGTCCCCAGGTGTTTATAAAGGCAGGTGGGCGGAGGCAGTGCTGCCGGGCGGTGATGAGCTGCAGGCTTCACCTATAGGCTTTGCCACGCCCAGTGCCTGGGTGCCTGGGGCTGGCCCTGGGCACCTAGTGGCAGAGTGGGCATCTATGTGCCTAGATGCCAACCAGTACCACTCCTTGTCCTGTGCAAGCAGTGGCCCCTGACCTTGCCACCTGCAGCGTGCACACTGGTGCGGGGGGGCGCAGGTCGTCCTCTGCACGAGGGCCCCAGGGTCACTGAGGGTGGGTCTGAGGGACAGAGTTGCAGCCATACCCAGAGGCAGGCGGACAGTTCCTGAGCTCCTCCAGCATATGGATGAGGACAGTCCCAGGGAAGGATTGGTCCCAAACCAGCAGAGTGTCTGGAGGAGAGATGGGATCAGGCAGAAAGAGGAAGTGTTGGTTTTGGCAGAAGAGAAGCTATGCGTTTATCGTTTTCAAAATCAGCAGCCCCCTTTCCGCTGTGTCCGGGAGCTCCCCTCTCCCTGTAGAATGGTGCTCTCCTCAGCCTCCGGTTTCCTCTGAGAACGGGTCCCAGGCCGGGAGGGGCGCCTGTCTCAGGAAGAGCAGCGTTCTCCCTTGCAGTTTGCAGACCCTCTAACGTGCAGGGTTGTTCCTGGTCTTGACTCTTCCTGTTTTTCTTTTTAAAATGTAATCGCCCTTGAATGCAAGACCCTGGGAAGAGCCCGGGCTTTGTGGTGACTGGACACAGCCCTCACGTCCCTGCTCAGGAGCTGACCCAGCTGCAGGCAGCGCGCGGGCGACCCTGTGCCCAGGAATGCTTCTTTGGCTGGTTCTGATTGTGTTTGGAGTTTGGCCTTGGGTGAGGCCTGAGCAAGGGGTCTGAGTGACTATGGTGTGGCACATGACATGCGGGCAGCGTGCATGCGAGGGTGCGGGCATGCGAGACAACATGGCAGCAGACAGAAAATAATGAAACCCTGGACGAAGCTTGAGAAAAGATACAAAGAGTACAGAAACCCGGTTCTCATACTAACCCACGGGTTACAAACTAGGTTGTGCTGTAGATTTGTAGAAAATCACGTTTTGAAAGAATGGCACTGGTTGGGTAGCTAGGGCTCCTCGAGCTGACCTGACTCCTGTTCGCAGCTGGTGCCCAGAGGTGCAGGGCAGCGCTGGTTGCAGCTCCCCCAGGGATGACCTCGGCTCCCCCGGCCCCTGCCCTCTCCCTGGCACTGCTGCTGGAGGGGACATGGCCAGAAAGGGGCTTTGGCTCAAAGGACTAGCAGAGGCCAGGCTGCTGTGATGCCTTGGCTGGTCTATGCCTCCTCATCCCCCGTAGACACCATCAACCGCATGGCCACCGGGAGGTGGTCGGTCAGGCCGGACAGCTGAGTGATGAAACTGAATTCTTCCACCTCCTGGAGTTGGGGGAAGAGAAGCATCCTGATTAGACGCAAAGGACACCATGCAGAGGCAAGAGTGGGTTCTGGGCTGGGGCTAGCGGGTCTTCCTAAGGGCAGAGGGGTAGGAGGATCCCCAGGGCCCCAAAGGTCTCTTGGGCTGGCAGGTCTCACTTTCAGAGGTGAGCTCAGTGCTGTTGAGGGGTAGAGGGCTCAGGGTCCCCTCCCTCTGGGCATGGCCCGGCTGTCCGACCCCAGACTCACAGCCTTCCAGTCCGGGCACAGCCCCTCCTCTGCGTACAGCATGTAGTCGATGCGCCTGCCGTTGCCCTTCAGCACATCCTTGCGTCCCTTCTGGCCCGCCCCCGAGGTCTTGCTGATGGGGAAGGCGAGGTATTCCCGGCGTCCCTCCTCGCTCTCCAAGACCCTGCTCATGCAAACAGGAGGCAAGCTGAGCCCCCGCCCCCGCCCAGGCCCCAAGTCCTGAGTGTGGAGTCAGGTTCTCATCCCGAGAGAGGCAGGTCAGACCACACTCCTGTGCTAACAGCTTTCTTCCTGGTGGGCACCAAAAAGGATGGGGAGAAACTGAGTCTGAGGCTGCACGTTCCTGACAAACCATCCTGGAATGCCCCATGTCTTCCTCGGGCTGGCCGGCACTCGCTTTCTCTTTCTGAACTGGGAGTTTGGCTGTGGCTACAGCTTGGACCCTGTGCAGCCCAGAGACTGTACCTGAGTCGGGGACAGAACTGCCTGTCCCCTCTGCATATCAGGGTTCTGCTCTGAGCCAGTAGGGTCCCCTTTGGGGAAACTTGGTCTTTACAGTGAACCTCAGGGACCCTTCTCAGGAAGACCTCAGAACCCCATGACTTGTTTCAGGTTCAGGGGGTAGTAGGTAGCCAGGAAAGCACCCAGGCCCCATCCCAGGACTGGACTCTAGTGTCAGTCTGTCCCTGAGCAGCTGTGCCAAACCTCAGAGCTTCCATTTCCTCTGATACAAGAATGATTGCTGTGAGCCCTGGGACCAGGGGACCAGGAGTGCCAAGAAAGTAATAACGGGATGTGACTATCTTCCTGTTCTCAGAGGAAGGAAAATGATTTGGGTGCTTAAGTGCTAGCCAAGGTTCTACAGGGAGACCAGGATGCTTGGGTGGGGTGTTAACACCCTGAATCCAGGTCTCCTGACTCCCTGTCTGCCATCTGGCCTGCCAGGTGGAGTCTGAGCACTCATGGGGAGGAGCCTTCATGGGAGGCTGTCTCAGAGACAGGTGCAGGCCGATGCCAGGGGCAGAGTGGCAGCCACTGAGAGACCCTGGACGGGTAGAAGGGGCACCTGGACAGGCACAGCCAGCAAACATGGGTTTCTATTATATAAGGTCGTTATCAGCATTGAGATAAATAATACTAATGACTGCAGAACATTGGTACCTCTCAGAAATATAATCCATTACTGTCCTTTGCTTTTGGTAATTAATTCCAGCATCAGTGATCTTCGAGTTACTGATAGTCATTTTTTAATCATCAGCTCATAAAAAGATAATTTTCTCGGCATAGGATGATGTTTCAAATTTAGTCTGTAATCTAATTAATTGGCTCAAATTAGCTGCAAGGAGCCATTGCCGTGACTCTGTGCAGGCTCGGGCTGTAAATTATAAATTGGTTCTGCCGCTGGCTTCTCGAACGTGTCCTTTGTGGATGTGTCAGTGGGTTCAAGAATGAAGTTTGGTTGCAATGGAGCCGTCTCTACTTTGAAAATAACTGGCTTACTCGTGCGTTAGCTTTGCTTGTATTTTTATTTGCCTAATCGGTGGCGAACAGTTGCTGGACTCCCTAGAGCAGGTGTCATCCCCATGGATGACATGGCTCTTTGGCAGCCGTGAGTCTTGCCCTGGAAAATTCTGGTCCCTTTTCCTGTGCTTGGCAGGGCCCCCAGTCAGGCTCCCAAGGCAGACAGGGTTGGGATTGGACTGGCTCTTGTAAAGTGAGCCAGGACACAGGTGTAGGAATCACCGCCTCAGGACCCCACGCCTACTTTGGGGCTTCTCCATAAGGCCTCCAGGGCCTACACCCACCCCAGCTCTGTCCCTGAGGCTCTCAGGGGCTTCCTTCTCTCCCCTGCCCTGATTATAGCCATCTCCCCACAGCTGAGTCAGGGCTGAGTGCTCAGCCCAGAACCCGGTGCGCCTGGCCCCACCACAGCGGGGTGCTTACTTTTGTAGGTTTTCAGGGGAGCTCACATCCTCATCGTTTATGCCATCCTGGTCCAGCATGGTACCTGGGGACAAGGGGTGAGAGCTGTCACTGCAGGTAGGAGCCAGCCAGCCTCCAGGAGGCATCTGCCGGCCCGGGTGTCCCAAATCCCCCAGCACCGGGGTCTTGGGAGCAAGTCCTGGAGGTCCCTCTAGGAAGCACGTGGGGAGCCCGGGCTTGGTGCAGTGTCAGGTCTCAGCATGGTGGGCTCAGAACCTGGCGGTGCTCCTCGCCTGCCCCAGTTCCCCTCTACCCACATTGCCTGCCCCCAGCGCCAGCTCACCGATTGCCCATGGCTTCTCCTCGCCAGGCCCCAGGCGGCAGGGGTCCTTGTAGCGTGTAAACAGGGAGTGCTGCTGCTCCAACTTGTCGTCTGCAGGGAGGGAGAGAGGCAGGCTCAGAGAGGGAGGTGACCCACCCTGCGTCCAGTTTGTCCTGCTAACTCGTGAAGCTAGAGGGCCTTTCTGAGACCCCGGGGAGGGAGGGCAGGTCACTGAGTGGGCCTGATTGGATGAAACCCCTCCTGACAGCCTCTTCCTATATGTGCTGGGTCCCCACCCTCACTCAGGGGGATCTGAGGAGCACCCAGCATTTGGAGCTGGCGTCAGGCATGTGACAAATGAGGGGCCCCAGGGCTGCAGTAGGGGGCATGTGTTACATGGTGGGTACCTTTCTTCTCACAAACAATTGAGTTGCCACCCTTGGGATGCCTTCCTGGCCGTGAAGAAACAGCCGTCAGCAAGTGAAGGCACCACCCTGTGCACCCTGAGGGTTAGGGCCATGCCGCCCGCCCATCCTCCATCTCTGCTAAGGCTCTGGCCAGAGTGGAAGGAGCCCGGGAGCCCAGGCTTGGGGGAAGCTCAGAGCCGCCCCAGTTCCCAGGAGGTCCCTGGGATGAGCACGATCATCAGATTCACAGATCAGATATTTAAATCAGTTGTTTAACATTTCACCCATGATGAACTTTGAGTCTAATGGTTTAAGGCATGATTTTCAGGGCTCACTTCCCAGTCCCACAACTTCACTGGCTGTGTAACCTTGGACTAGTTACTCCACCTCTCGAGGTCTCAGCTTCCTCTTCCATACCATATGGATGACTACAGTGCCCACTCTTGGGGTTGTTAATGAGACTTAAATGGCATAGTTGGCCCATGACCAACCATTAGAATTATGCCTGGTGCCAAATAAGGGCTGACTAAAGACTCGGTGAGTGTATTAGCTGACTCGTCCTTAAGTCTGAATTTCGGAGCCTCCAAGCCTTCCCTTCACAGGTTCGTTTTTAGGGCAATCTTGTCTCCAGCAAGGAGGCTTCTGAGCTTTCAAGGCAGAGTGTGGGTGCTCCTCATTCCAGGATTTCTAGGGGGCAGAGACATCGCAGTCTTGCTAGCATCCCACCCACATGCTCACAAGGAGCAGGAAGCTCTTCGAGCTGCCTGTGTTGCTCGCTGTGACTGGAACCCCCCACTCTCCCCCAGTAGCCAGCCTGAATGAGGGGGTGTCCCAGCCTCACCGGAGGAGCAGTTGTCAAAGTTCAGATCTCCGCAGACGACGTCAAACGCCACCAGCTCCTCGGGGTTGGCTGTGCTGGACGAGGAGGTAGATTTTCGGAAATCGGCCAGCCATTCCAGAAGCATGTCCAGCTGCTCGCACCGGATGGCGCTGTCTTCTGCGGAGCAGAACCACAGAGACCGCGGTGATGACGGAGCTGCAGCCAGGCCCCGGCCAGGCCCCGGGAAAGACCCTCCACCCTGCCAGACAAGTTTGGGCCGCCAGACCCTACCTTCCGGGGCGTGCAGGTGTGTACAGGTGATGTACCCGACAATTCTTTGGTCCTGAGGTGTGCTTCCCACCTGCACCTGTGGAGGAGGAGGTGGGGTGTCGGTGGGGAAGTCTTAAGTAGTCATTGCTCCGAGCACAAAAGGACACTGACAACACTGCCCCCGACGAGGTGAGATCCTTACGGGCCCAGCTCTGTTGGCTTCTGGCTAGACTTGGGCCCAGGTAGGAACAGCGCGTGTCCTGTTTCCAGAATCTCCTGGTTAAGTGCGTGAGGCAGATGCATAAAGAAATGGCAGCTCCACTTTTCCCCAGACCGCAGCCCACGCCTCCTGTTCATTCCCCTTCACGAGTTGGAGTACCCAGGGGAGGCGTAGGGCCGGCAGCACTTCCCCGACTCTGTGCCCAACAGCAGATGACCCTGGCAGGCTGAGTCCACAGGTTGGCATAATGATAACAGCATTTCAATGTACAGCACAACTCGAAATGGCCCCCGTGGTGACCTGATACAAGCCTGAGCCCTTGTTGGAAGCTGTGGAGAGAGGTGAGGGGCGACCCTCCCCACAGCTCAGCTGCTCAAGGCTGAAACGGGTGAGACCCTCCCACGCCTGCTCCCCAGGACCATCTGTGGGCACCTTTGCTCCGAGGCCTCTGGTCGACTCAGCCTCTTCCTCTCTGGCCTTCCTCTGGCCTGAGCTTCTGCTGTCTGTCCCCAAAGTTCACCCATCCGTTCTTGATTGGGTTTTCAGTGATGACAAGACCCTGGACCCTAGAAACTGTCCCAGGAAGGTGACCATAGAAGCCAGGTCTGCAGGTCATGTAGCAGCCGGATGGGTGCACCTGGCATCCACCAAGAACAGTCCTGCCCATCCTGCAGCTAAGAGTGGCCTGAACTTGCTGCTACCATTGCCACGCCATGGTCCTCTACTCTGAGAGCCTCCAGAGCTTCCATCTCTGCTGTCAAAGTCAGGTTGGCATTAATCTCCATATGGACTTAGGTGCCATCACACACCCTTAGCTTTCTGTAGCTCCTCATCCCCTTTCCAGGCCGGATGGAGACACACCTTTTCCCAGTGCCGGGGGCGGGGAGAAATATGTCTGTTTACTTGATAATGGGCCATACGGCCTGGGTTTGGAGCTTTTTATAAATTCAGGTTCACTTCTTGGCGGTATTCCAGAGCCAAGCCTCAGTCCAAAGTTCCCTGCACTTTTGAAACAGCTCAAGAAATCCCATACCACTGATGTATCTGTCCCGTTGCAAAAACAATCCAGTTTTAAAGCCGTGATGCCCCATGTAGGGCCACACGGTGGCGCTCTCGCCCCTATGTTCCTTGGGCAATGACAGCCTCTTCCCTTTTCAATAATACTGCTGTGAGCACCCCCTGCTTCGTGCTTCTACATCTGTGAGGATTATACTTAAATTATACCCTAATTGGCCAGGGTCACGAGGCTCTGATGGCTGAGGCCGGTTCAAATCAGTTTGCTGCCCCCTCCCAATTTCTCCTTGAGCTCTGCCCTGCTTCCTGAACTCCTGGTGACTTAGGCTTTTCGCCGGCTGCCCATTCCATGGCCTTAGAGCGTTATCCCCTCACTCCTTCAGCACTTAGTGCATCTGCCTGTGCTGAGTCCTGGGCAGCGACAGGACGGGTGCAGAGAAGGCACCACTCTGCCCTGCCACTGGAGAGACACAGGCCAAGGCCATCTGCCTCTCCCTCAGCCCTTCCACCAGGCACCTCACTCAGCTGCTCACCCCTTTCCCGCTCGGCCAGCCTGTGAGCGCGCTGAGATCCACTTGATTATGTGCCGGGACTTATTGATTTCTGGCTCGAGTCCTCAGGAGCTGCAGAGGCTTGTGTTTCTCGCAAAAACAAACCATCACACTGAGAGGCTCTGCCTCTTAATACTGGTGGGCTCAGACTGTCAATAGAGAGGGGCACAGAGTCGGGCTCTCTAATTGGCGAGGCAAACGCGAGTCCAGTCCCTTCCTTCTCAGGCTCTCACAGTAGCAGGAAAGGATCGGCAGTGCCACAGGGTCCATCGGGAGGGCAGGGTGGACAGGGAGCCCCGCCAATGAAGGGAGCACTGGCTCCACGCACAGCCAGGGCAGCCTTTTCCTAGCCCCGGACCCCTTTCTGGTCCGGCCTGTCTTCTGAAACCCCATTTGTTTTATTTCTCTACACAGGAAAAACAGCCTCACTCTTGGCAACAGAGGTGAGTTGGGTCAGCTGTGTGCTGGGCACAGCTGGCTCGCCACCCCTCTGAAGGGGTCTGTCTAATGGGATGGACAGGCGACAAGACTGCTGGGGACAAATGCAGAGGAACCCATGAGGGGAAGATGGCTTGTGTGGACGCCAGTTGGGAAAGCTCCACAGAGATGGTGAGGACAAGCTGGGTGGGACCATGACAAGGAGAGCTGGGCCGGAGCGGAGCCAGGTGAGGGCAGAGGGCCCAGGGAAGGCTGAGCTTCTCCCCAAGGCAGGACGAGAGGGGTACCAGGAATCAGACTGGGACAGGAGAGGGGATGCGTTGGAAGCGGGAGGACAGTCCCCAACACAATTAGGTGGATATAGAGGAATGGTGGCCATAAAGGGGCAGCTGGGGACATGGGCAGGGGCGGTCCACAGGTATCCGGGAAGTGAAATTAGTTGTCTGCATGGATTGGATGGGCCCAGGGCACAGAGAGGAGTCAAGGTGGGACCTTGTGGCTGAAGGAGGGTGGAACCTGGGAGAGGGTGGGACCAGAGCAGAGGATGAATTCTCTTTAGGAGTAAACGGGACTGTGTCCAAGGGCAGCCAGACACAGAGCTGGGGGCGTAGGGGAGAGCTCTGGGCTTGGACAAGCCTGAGACCCCTCAGCAAGGGTGGAAATGGAGGCCGTGGAGTCGCTTTCCTGAGGCAGGTATGTGTGCTGGCCGTGATGACCACTTGGGAATGAAAAGCCCTGGTCCAGCGCGGTCAGGGCTGCTTGCACTGAGAGCTGGGCAGAAGCAGCAGGCCTGGTGCTGCCAGATTGCTCCGGGGGGGGGGGGGGGGAGGGAAGTTGCAAACTGGGGTTTCTGTGAAATGTCTTAATTTTTAAATGTTGGCCAAGACAAGAAATATTTTAATGGTGTGAACCAAATTAAACATGTCTACAGACCGGTTTTAAATCCAGGAGGGAGAGAAAGCATTGGCATTTAACGGATGGGCAGGCAACAGGAGCCTAGCAGGAAGCCCGCAGTGGAGGGGCTGTCTTCAGGACTGGCGGCTCTGGTGGGCATAGTGGTTGAGGTGCCAGACCAAGGAGGGAATGAGGAGGGGATGTGTGGGTTGGGGGCAGGATCAAGGGGTTCCCTGGCCTCTGAACCACCTGAGTAGGGTGGTGGGAGGGAGAGGGTGTGCTCCCCCCTTTCTCTGAGTCCGACAACATGTCCTCTCTGTCCCCAGAAAGCCACTGACAGGAACATACATCCATGGAACCAAACACCGATGGACCATATGCCACCATGGGAAGGCGGGCTCTCCTGCAAGAGGAGCACATTCAATGTCAGCATCTCAGGCTGTGAACAGAGAGCCGAGGACTCCAACTCTGGGCCTGCAGAGCCACATGAGAGCCACGAAACACATGGAGGGGTGCCTGGGCCCTGGTGCTGGCCCTGGTTCCAGCCGTCTCCATGCAGACAGTCAGCCTAGGCCGACAGGAGAGAGGTGCTTGGCTGACACACAGCACTTTCCTGGACAGGCAGAGCAGTCAGAGCTGAGGCCTGGGGATGACAGCCTCCTACCTGGGCTTTCACATTAGCCACACTGGGTTCCCCTCCCTGCCCTCATGGACCTCCTTCGAGGGGGAACTGAGACGTCTTGAGGGAAATATGGACAGAACCCAGACAGACCCACAGCAGCTGCTGCCTCTGGGGCAGAAAGCCCTGTTCTGTATCTGCTGGCCAAGCCACGCTTCAGAAAACTCGGGAAGCACCAAGCACAGCTTTTGGACAGAGAACAAGAAGTCGACACTCGGAGTGCGTCAGGCTCAGGAGAAGATAATGCATAATGACCAAATTACTATGGTCTAACATCTCCGCCAATTGCATCCAAATTAGCAGGAATAATTATGATTCACTTTAATTAGTGACTATGGAATCAAAGCCTTGGGCTGGTGGGCAGAGCCTGATGTGACAGCCAGGAGGGGAGAGGGTATCCCGGCCAGTGAGGCTGCTGTGGTAATGGAGCCAGAACCTGCAACCATTGGTTTCTGCTGGTCTCCCGTCTTGTGAATGTTTGCTTTGTTACAGACGGTAGCCTCTTCCTCCCTCACCACTCCCATCCCATCATTGCCGGGCCACGTTCACCTCCAGCACCAAGAAAAGCCCCCGGCCCCCGCCACTCACTCCCCAACCCTGTGAGTGGGTTCCACATCGCCCCCGCTTTACAGATGGGGAAGAGGGGGCTTAGAGATCTGAGGAACTTGCCCAAGATCAGCCAGCCAGGTCTGTCATCCCGGAGCCTTCTGGTGGTGGTGCAGAAGGTGGTGTCCCCACATTCTTCCCTTGTCCCTGAGTTGGGGCCCTCTGGTCCGGCTCCATGAAAGGATTTGTCTGCCCATAGACCTTCCGCGGGGCGAGGACCCCCGGGCTGCAGCCCACCTCCCACACGGCTCTGGGACCAGCCGGCGTGTGCCCAGGCCCTCCTACCTTGAGAAACAGTGCTCCCTTTGAGGCCAGGCTGTCGACGCCCTTCCCGTTGGTGTAACAGTGATAGGCGGCATCCATGATGGGGTAGCGGCTGGCGAAGAAGAGGCCGCTGTTGAAACACTTGAAGCAGCAGTGGGCCTCGCAGCAGCGGCGGCAGCAGCAGCAGCCTTGGCAGCCGTAGACCCCGACGTCGTACACGATGTACTCAAAGTAGCCGTGCAGCTGGTTTTTCAACTTGGTGGCCGCCCGCTTGTCGAACACCTCCTGCAGACACAGGAAGTCCAGGTTGGCGGGGAAGAAGGCCGAGATCTCATGGTCGAAGGCCTCGTCCGGGTGCCGCCGCTTGCGGGCGGCCACCTTCTTCACCACCGAGGCCTTGTGCGGGGCCTTGCCGTGGGTGGCGCCCGGCTCCCCGCTGCCACCGCTGTCCAGCCCGGCGCGCGCCTTCACCAGCGACTCCTTGGAAGCAGAGCGGCTGCCCAGGCTCCCCGAGTCCCCGTCCCGCCGGCTGTGGTTGGGCGTCTGGCCCCGCGAGGCCCCGCCGGCCCCATTCCTGGCCTGGTCCCCGGCGGCAGGGTCCGGGGCCTCGGGGTGCCGGCCTCCCTCCTCGCCAGCGATGCGCACGATGCAGGCGTTCTCCAGGCCGCCGCAGTCCATGGGGTCCCCGGAAGCCGGGCCGTTGGCAGCCTCGTCGCCGGGGTGACGCCCGCTGTGGCCCTTGTAGTCCACGGAGGCCGTCCTCTTAATGCTCCCAGGGACGGCCCGGGCCGTGCCATCGCCCTGCGGCGACACCAGGCTGCTGAAGCTGGCCGCGCTGATGGAGGTATTGGTGGGCGAGTCGATGTAGATTTTTATCTGGGGCCGGCCGGCCCCATTGCGGATTCGGTGCCCGATCTCTTTGGCCCGCACTTGGGTCTTATACACGTTGTTGTGCCTGGCCAGCGACTCGGGGAGGAGGCAGACGTTGGCGGTGGCAAAGCAGAAGCTCCTGCCGGGACCCGTACCCTTCCATTCGCGGAGTAGGGCCGCCCCGCCTGCCGGGCCCTTGTCCTCCAGCCGGGAGTAGACGTAGGGCCTACGGGCACACTGCAGCGGGCACCAGAAGAGGAAGCCAAGGAACGCGAAGGGCAGCGAGGTGACCAGGAAGCCCAGGTAGATGGGCATGAAGAGCACGATGCAGAGAAGCTGGTTCTTCTGGCAGGGCGCGGGCGTGAACAAGGCCAGGAGCTGGTCCAGCAGCCAGTAGCATGGGAAGATGAGGCACCAGGACACGGCGTGCAGGGCAGACAGACAGCTATTGGAAAAGGGGGTCGTGTACAAAACCATCGCAGCTCACTGGGTGCCGCGGCCGGCCCTACTACATGGTGTCCGTGGCGACGCAGGCACGTTCCTGGGTGGGGTGGGTGCGTGGGGGACGGCAGGAGGAGGGGTTACGTCCTGGTGAGATGTGACTTGGGATGGTTGGTGGCCAGTGTTGGCCGGCCGGTCATGGTTCACCTCAGTGGGCCATGCTAGGCCGCCGAGGCCTGCTGGAGAGCCTGCGACACAGAGAGAAGAGGGCTTTTGTTAGTTTATAGGGGAGCAGACGGGGTGCTGGGGCTGTTGGCCCTGTTTACCCCATTCCTGCTTCCTCTGGCATGAGAAGGACCGTTCCCAGGGCCAGACAGGAGCTAAGCTGCTCACATAGGGTATTTCTTGGCGTAAACAGCTTGGTGACATGACTGTCTCTGGCTGACCATCTTGATTAAAAAAAAAAAAAAAAAAAAAAAAAAAAAAAAAAATATATATATATATTTACAGAGAGGAAGAGAGAGGGATAGAGAGTTAGAAACATTGATGAGGGAGAATCATCGATCAGCTGCCTCTTGCACACCCCCTACTGAGGATGTGCCCACAACTAAGGTACATGCTCTTGACCGGAATCGAACCTGGGACCCTTGAGTCCGCAGGCTGACGCTCTATCCACTGAGCCAAACCGGTTTTGGCTGACCATCTCATTTTATAACCTAATTGCTTGAAATCTGGGCCAGGATTTCAGAGGAGCCCAGCTTTGTGGGTGCTGAGTAGGCAGGGTGGGGATCCTAGAGGGTGCCTGGACCTGACACTGGCCCAGAGCAGCTGGGGTGAGCCTGAGGGGAGCCTCACTGAGTGGCCCCCAGGTCAGAATGAAGAGGGAACAAATCACAGAGAAATGCGACTAGAGTCCGGGGGTGGAGGGCTGTGTGGCTGGCAGGACCCCCGAGAGAAGGCTCCCCCATAGCCAGGCTCTCGCTGTGCTCAGCCTACAGCATCAGAGCACTTCTGCATTCCACTCCACTGACCCTCAGCAAAAATCCCCACCTGACGGGGGTCCAGGCACAGCCTGGACGTTACTAACATCCAGAATGATCAGAGTTCCCAGGTTCCCAGGGTCCCTAATGGTCCCTGCAACTTTGGAGAAGCTCCCTGAGGCCTTGAGAGTCTGGCCCAAGCTTCCCCTTTAAGCTCCCAAGACACAGCTCCTGGGCCCGGCAGAGGCCCAGAGCTGCTGGAATGAGTCTCCCCTGGTCCCTGTCCCAGAGCTGACTCCAGCGCTCTGCCAGGTGCATTTATTGTGCTGAGTGTGAAATCCATACAGACAAGAATGTGGGGACCCCCAGTGATCAGGCTGTGCTGAAGCTTGTCGGACCATAACCCAGAGTTTTCATCACCAGATCAGCTGGGGGGGTCGTGCCCTGTCTCACCAACCCGGCCCAGCTTCTGCCCTGGCTCCATTGGGAGGTGGGGTCTGTCTGTATTGCCATCCATCCTGGCTTCCCCAGGCGGGCTTGTCTGCCCTGAGGGGCACGGTCACATTGAGTGAGGACTTGAGCTTGGGTGAGTCCTGGCTGTGAGCACAGTTCTGGAGGAAGGCTCTGGGAGGAGGAGAGGGTCTGTACTGTCCATGCCGCATTGCCCTGTAAGCACACTGGCCCGTGGTCCTCAGAGGTGAACGTGGCCTCGCTTGTAAAGGCTTCCTGAGTGAAAGTCCCTCTCTTCTCCGAGAGGCTCATCCCCAACGCTGGCGAATCAGGGTTGGTGTTTGGTTTTAGCTGGGACAGGACTGGGGGTGGAGGGGGGGGGTGGTGGTGGTGCAGAAGGTGTGTCTCCCTATTCAGCTGTCCAGTGTCCTCACTCCTGCTCTGGCCCTATAAACCCTCTGGGCAGGTTCCTCCCCAGCCTTGCCTGTAGTGACAGTATGTGGCCAGGCCTGATCTCCCTGCCTCCCCTGGGCTGGTCATTGGAGTATTTGTGGTCCCCACTCAGGTATCGTTGGGTTAGGTGGCCCAGGGAGCCAACAGGTATGCCGGCCACCATGGCAGCCCTCCAAGATGTTGCAGATCTGAGCATCGCAGCCCTTCCCGCCTCCATCCTAACCCTCCGAGGCTGCCCCGGGTCCCCTGCCCAGAGCCCCTCCTCTGCCTGCCGCCCTTCAGCAGTGCCCTGGCCAGAAGGAGCCTCCAGGTGCTGCCCGCCTGCCCTTCTCCCCCTGGCAGCCCCTGCATGTACCCCAGGCGCTGCCGACGCAGTTGGCACAAAAGGGCTTGCCACCAGCGGAGCTGGTTTCTAAAGCTCTGTGGTTATTTTGTCTCCGTGAAATGAAAGGAGGGCAAACAAACAACAGCGCATTAATTAGGCTGATCTATACTTTCCCCACGAAAGAGGAGAGTGAGCGTTAAATACTGGAGGCTGGCACCCTCTCCGTGAATGCCGGAGTCCTCGCAGGGGTGGCAAGCAGGACGTGGGCACCCAGGCACCCAGCCTGCACCCCTATCTGGGCCCTTGCTCTTGGCCTGGTGGGACCTTGTGGGTGGCCCAGGCCAGGCTCCGTCCCCGTCTCGGGGAGAACACCTTCCTGTCCTCCGTGCTTTGGTCCTCTGCGTGCCTGTCCTGGGGCTGCACCTTGGTCGAGGGAAGTCCACCATGGGTGGGGCTGACATATCCCTCCAAGGCCATGTGTGCTGAGCTGTCACAGCTCCATCCCACAGGCTGGGTTCTTTCAGATTCCTGTTTTATAGCTGACAATGACCCCTAGGTTTATCCCTTGTGGATCCTGGAGTGTGGCTTCCAGGGTTGCTCGGGATGCCCTCAGCCTAACACTACAGTCTCCAATTCTGGGCTGGGGTCCCAGTGTGGGGGGATATACAGTGCCCACCAGAGGGCAACCTCTCTATAACTGGAAACCCCCAGACGCACCCCTCTCCCCCAGTCCCTGCCCCATTGCTGCACGCTCAGCTTGGGAGCCACGTTCAGGCTGACCTGAAGGAAATCTGGCACAGGCGTCAGGCTTGCTGAGCCCCTGTCTCGTCGTCTATGACACGAGGGTGGCAATCCCTGTCTCCCAGGGCTATCACGTGATCATGAGGATGAAAGCTGGGCAGGCCACTAAGATGGCTGGCCCTCCCTGTTCATTCCCCACTCCCCAGTCCTTGTTGCGCCTCCTCAGCCTCTCCTACCCTGAGGTTGGCCCATGTGCCCGGTTTGCTCTTCAGCCTGTGGATTCAGTAGTTGGAAGGCGGTACCAGCTGGTCTGGGCACGGGTCTGGGGGCAGCCTGAGCCCATCTGCTGAGCTCCCAGGCCCCCGACTGACCCGAAGGGCCTTCCAGTCCTCAGAGATGCTGTCCACCCTGTTTAGGTTGGAGCCCCTGACCGTTGCTAACCTGTTCCACTTCCTGCAGCAAGATCTGACCGGGCCGTGGAGCCAGGACGGACGGTGGAAGTGGAGAACACCATAGTTTGCAGATTGACAGGTGGAAGGGGAACTGGCTGAGGGAGGTTTGGGAGCCCAGATGATGCTAAATTTAGAAGGGAGAGGAAAAGTGCTTGGTTTAGGACATGGGCAGAGCCTGGGAGGTCACGGGCCCAGCCACTCTGGGGCAGGCCTGGGGCAATGACAGCAAGAAGCTCCACACCGTATTGCTCCTGTGGGGCTACTGATGACCTACAGTGATCTGTCAGCACTGAGACACCTTGTTGCTAACCTGTGGCCTGCAGCCACCAGAGCGTGGGAAGGAGGTTTGTGGACTGTTCAGCAGACTCCTGGGCCCAGCAGCCAGTAGCAATGGCAAAGAAGCTGCTCTAGCATCCCCTGGGGAGGGCATCCTCAGGAAAGGGGCCTGTTTGGGTGTTGACGGAGGGGAAGGTGGGGCCCCAACAGCCTTCGTGGGCAAGCTGCAGTGGACAGGACCTTTGCTCCTATATGCCCAGTATCACTGCACCAAGACAGCGTTCCTTTTCCCATCTCCCTGGGAGATGGGCCTGGCATGCATGCTGGTGCATAGACTTGCTGCAGAGGCCAGAGGGTCCTGGGTGGGTGCTGACTTGAGTTTGAATGTCTTTTGCAGGGGAAAGTGAGCAAACGCTCAGCTCTGCCGGCCCCTCTGACGAAGCCTGCATCATCTTTTGGGATCTCTGAGCTTTGGGGAACTTCCGGGAAGTTGATGAAGGTCAGGAGCTTCCTTGAGTGAGGCTAGGATGGGGCCTGTCCCTCCTTCCTGACCCTTCCACCTGGTCCTCATGGAGCCTTCCATCGAGCATCAGGGCGGGCAGTCCTGGAGCACAGGGACATCCTCCCATCCTCCTCGTATCCACAGGCTCAGGTCTAGCAGGAGCTGGGCCAAGCCCGAGGTTTCCGCAGGAAAGGCCGAGAGGATCGCTCCAATCCAATTACTAGGATGTGCTCACATTGGCTGGCAGCCCCGAGATGGGGCCGGGCCCATTTCTGCCTGGATGCCTGCAGGGGAGGGGTTGGCATGGCAACGTGAGCTCAGAGCTGCTGAAATTTGAAGTCAAATCGTAGCTGGGAGGACAGAATGACTGAGAGGAGCCTTTCTGAGTGATGGGCATCAGACAAATCCAGGTTAGTCCCTGAAAGCCGCATCCCTGAAGCAGAACTGGGGTGTGGCACGGCATGTGTGCCATAGTGGGATTCCCACCAACACAGCTGTGGGAATCAAATGCCTGTCTAGAGCCAAAGCACCCTCCCCTTCCTTGAAGCCCTCCCTCACTTCCCTGCCCCTCCTACATACAGTCCCACAGTCCCTCTAATCAGACATGTGTCTGTTTGCACATCAGGACATCTCCCTACCCCTACCCCCCAGCCTTGGAGCTTCCAGTGGAGTCTCAGGCACCAACACAGGCCCTCGTCCTCGCCTGCTCCACCTTTCTGGTTGGGCAGGCCCACTTTTGTCAGCCCCACTCCAATCCTGGTGAGCTACACCAGGCCAATCAGCACCACAGCCCCCTAACCTCAAACCGAATAGTCACATGACCCAAGCTCTCCTTGGACCCCTCAGCATTTTCTCCG